GTGAGTTCCTTGAATATCAGGTCCAAAATCTATATTAACATTCCTAGGCATGTAGTGCATGCTCAAAAATTATTGTTGAGAGGCTGGAGAGATGGCTCAGAGGTTAAGAGTGCTTGATGCTCTTGTAGAAGACCTAGGTTTGGTTCCCAGCATCCACATCAGTTGGCTCACAATTGCCTGTAACTCCAGTTCCAGGAGATCCATCACCATCTTCTGACCTCTATGGTCACCTGCATGCATGTGGCGCATGTAAACTCGCATACATATGCAAAATAAAAAAAATAAATCTTTTTAAAATATTCAGTGAGTAAATATCTCTCCTTATAAAACTGACTTAATATAATCAATGGTATGTGTCCTGATCATGATTTTAAGCAGTCCTTAATACAGCTCTAAGAAGAGCTGACTCCTATCAGAAATTTTTCCAAAACTGGATTTTGTAGAAGGGCTGGCTTTTTCCAAATCAGTCCTCTATTGTTTGCAAATCTTAGAATATTCATGTATTAATAACTCCTTGTAGCTGTGAAGTTGTTGATGATTTTCAAAATATTTGATCTTAATGTTAATGAATTTGAATGTTTTTAATAGCTTTGTGACCTTTCTAAGATAAAACGTTATTCCTATTGTACAGATTAGAAACCACTTGTTCGGAGTAGCATAAGTCAGGACCAGATAAGGTAGTCTTCCATATTAGTATTTTTTTTTTCATTTCTGTGACCAAATACATGCAAAGAAGCAACTTAAGGGAGAAAAGATTTATTTTGGCTTATGGCCTGAGGTCATACAGTCTGTCGTGACAGGGAAGATACGGCAGTAGGTGACTCCATGGTGAGTCTGTGGCAGCCTGTGGCAACCTGCTCACATCTCAACAGACTAAGAAACAGAGAGGGACTGTAGCCAGAAGGGGGGCTTGGCTATAACCTTCAAGGTCCATGACCTGTGACCTTTCCCTAGCTAAGCCCCACCTAAAGGTTCCGCAGTCTCCCAACACAGCACCACCAACTAGAACCACATGAGCCTAGAGAGGATGTCTCACATTCAAATCATGACATTCTGTCACTGTCCGCCCCCCAAGCTCAGGGACATCTCATAATACAAAAAACATTCAGTCCAACTTCAAAATTCCCCATAATCTTATAATTCCAATACTTTCCAAAAGTCCCAAGTCCCAAGTCTCTTCTGAAATCAAAGCATACTCTTTACTGTAAGCCCCTGTAAAATCAAAACACGCATTACATACTTCCCATATACAATGGCACAGAACACACGTTCCCGTTCTAAAAATGAACGGGAAGATAACCAGCAAAGAGAATATCAAAGCAAAACCAAAAACCATCAGGACAAACACCAAACCCTGTAATTCAACGGTCAGTCTCTATGACTCACAGGGGCAACATCCAGATTACAAAGGGCTTGAGTACAAAGGGCCCTATTTTCCAGTTCTGCTGCCTCCAGTACTTGGAACCTCCTTTGAGGCCAACTTGGCAGATGTCCCATGGTCCTAGCACCTCCAGCATCCTGAGGTCTCCATTGCAATTTAGGCTTCACCTTCAAAGCTTCATACACAGCCCACTCCGGAGCTCCACACAGAAAATCCTAACTTGCTACATGTTGCTTGGCCTCGGCAGCTTTCTAGAACTGTACTACAAGCCTCCATGACACCTTCACTCTCTAATATGCATGCCTGCAAAAGCAATACCATGTGGGCAATGTCAAATTCCACTGAGCGCTTGAGGTGTAGCCAGGCCCCTTTCACCACAGCTGAAGCGGCCTTTCTGTGCCCAGGTAGTTGAACCTGGAAAAACACTTTCTTAGGAGGTTTTTAAGCAAGAAGCTTCTGCAGCAAAAGACTGTTCAGACACTCTCCTTTTGGATAAATTTACTTGCTTACAGTTGAAGTTATTAGTGGATGGTCTCACCCTCAAGTAACTTTCCTATTAAACAAATTCAGAGTAGACCCTTTTCTCTTTAATGGTGCTAATCTCTTTAACAATTAGGGCTACTTTGTTTGAAGTGCTCACTGTGTCTGCAACTTTAACCATGGTCATACTCCTTTACTCACCAAACTGTATGGCCTTCAATTCTCTTCCCCCCTCATTGCACCCCCACCAATCTCTGTAAATCTGACTAAGAGTAGTAAGCAGTAACTATTTCACAGCCTGGATGCTATAATGCCTTGAAATGTCTTCTACAAAACAGTCTGTGAAAGTAGAGAGAGGGAGAATTCTGGAGGTTAAAGGTTTATGTGGGGATCGGGGTGGGGAATGGGGAGAGTAGAGGATAGGCAGTTGTGGTAGTTTGAATGAGTATCCTCCACAGGCTCCAAGTAGTTGGACACTTGGTCCCCAGTTTGCAGCACTGTTTAGGGAGGGTCATGGAACCTTTAGGAAGTGTGGCCATGCTAGAGGAAGCATGTCACTGGGGGCAGGCTTTGAGAGTATATGGCTATGCCCACTTCCAATCTGGCTGGCTCTACTTCCAGTACCTTCTTGAGGATGTGCACAGTCTGCTTTCTGCTCCACTCACCCTCTGCCACCATGACTCCTCACTAAAATGGACTCTTACATTTCTGGAACCATAAGTCAAATAAACTCTTCCATAAGTTGCCTTGGTCGCTGTTTTATCACAGCAACAGAAAAGTAACTAATGCAGCAGTGGACTAACGAAAACCAAAGATGTATAAAAACGTCTCATGGAAACTTACTACTTTGTAATCTAATTTTAAAATACAATTTTAAAAAAAGGAATGTGGGGGCTGGAGAGATGACTCAGTGGTTAAGAGCACTGACTGCTCTTGCAGAGGACCCAGGTTCAGTTCCCAGCACCCACATGGCGGCTACAAACCATCCTTAACTCCAGTTCCAGGGGAATCCGAAGGCCTCTTCTCACCTCCGAGGCATTGCACAACATGGGTGCACTCACATACATGCAGGCAATACAGTCGTGCACATAATATAAAAATAATAAATTTAAAATACATTTTTAAAAAATTTTTAAAAGGAATGTGAACAGAGGTACCTGCATGAGTGGACAGTGCTTCTCACAGAAGCCATGAGTAATTAAACAAAGATGTGAGTGTCAAGCACGGGCTACCGCTCTACACACTGTTGGTCCGGGAGGCCCCAGAGGCTCCCAAAACAACACAGGCTATTGCCATTGCTCCTATTGCCCACCGTAACTAGATGGAAAGACAATATTGGTGAAGACTTTTCACTCTTTGGTTACATGACATGAAGAGACCAAGCTAGGGCCTGTCTGGAAACTTCTTCCTGCTAGCTAGCTTTCATAATGTTGGAAGGGGCTATACAGGCCACTGGAGGAGAAAGTCATCAATGGACTTACCCAGCAGTGGACCCTACATGCTACAATACAATACAATGCAATACAATGCAATGCAATACAATACAGTACAGCACAATACAACACAATATGCCATTCCAACAGTGGCATGAAGACTATGGAGGCAACAAATTGCTTTCTGATTAGATGTGAGGCCTGCTCCATAGGCAGGAATTCAGGAATTCATGACTGGTGCTGTAAACCTGCCTAAAAGTCCATGGCTGGGGAGGTCATAGGTTTTAGGGAGGGAAGCTACTATTGTTTTGCTAAGTGAACATGTCATACTGACTTCTAAATACAAATATTGAGCCTGGCATGGTGGCACACGCCTTTAATCCCAGCACTTGGGAGGCAGGCAGGTGGATCTCTGTGAGTTCAAGGCCAGCCTGGTCTACATAGTGAGTTCCAGGACAGCTGGGGCTACAGGGAGACCCTGTCTCAAAAAAGACCAAAAATAAATAAATACATACGTTTATACTCATAGATGAGTGCTGCTCTCAGTCTTGACAAGAGAAGCTTCTTTTTGCAGTGGGCAACAGTTGATGCAGAGACTGATAACTGGTCAAAGTGCTAAGAATAAGTGACTGTTGAACACTAAGTCCTAAATGAGACATCTGTATCTACACTACCACTCTCTCCCCCAAGGCTCAGAACACATCACAGAAGAGGGAAAAGAATGCATGTAAGAGCTGGAGGATCGGGGGAATGCTCTGAAGTTCTAGCCTTTAGACATGATCCGTCCACTGCACGCATAACCTACTGAGACCTCCATAATATCAAGTCTGTCATTATTCCAACATGGATAGAGGATAGTCTTATGAGGCCCCACTCCTAGTTGAAGACCTTCTGGCAGTTGGTGGCTTCTGGGAAAGGGGGAGTCATTTTTCTTTGGGACTGTGGTCGCTGGTACGTTGCCCGTGCTCTAGTGGATGACCCTTACTCCCATGTGTATCCAGGCAACACTATTTGTAGCCAATGGGAGGAAGTTGGTTTTACAGACAGAAAAGAACTGGACCGGTCATTTCTAAGCTGCTTTCCTTATAAGGCAGAAACAGGATAACAGGACAATAGGAAATAATTAGTAGGTTAACAGCAAGTTGCTTCAGGTTACATTTTTGAAAAGAATAAAAGCAAAACAAAAGGAGCTTCATTCTCATGTGAGTTGAAACCTCAGAAAAATAAAATAAACAGCTCAGTTGACTGGTGTTATGAAATTTTAGCACGAGTGGGCACCACTAAGGCTCAGTTCACTGGGCCCAGCTCAGCGCGGAATGCAAACAAATGAATGTATACAGATTTATAAATTGTATTTCATAGAAGTTTAAGAAACACAAATGGGTTTCCCTATAACAAAACTTCACAGAGCTTTTATGACACTAAGACCCTTATGACACTAACGAAATTATAAAAGACCTTAGACATGAAATAGTGCCGACCTGCTTGGCTCCACAATTTCTTTGACAAGAAGCATCTGTGTTCTTTAAAACATTTTTCAAATGCCTGTCATTTTTTTGTACATGTTTGTCTTTAGTGTACAAAATAATGGATTTCATTATAACTTTCGGGAGGGTACTGAGGATTGAAAGTATGACCTCTTGCATACTAAATAAGTACCCCACCATTGAGCTATATCCCCAACACCTTCTCCACTTTTTCTCCCCGAGGGGAAAGTGCAAACACATTCCCTCTCTACCACACATTATGCTGTAGATTTTCTCATATTTGGAGAAACCACAGGGGTCAGCACATCTGGAAGGCAATGAATGAGCCTTACCCTGGGAAAACCATCTTCATGATCGTGGTATCTCTCCTGCCCTGTAAGTATTCCACTACTTATTTTGAGACAAGGCCTGCCCTAGCTGGCCTTGAATTCTCTACATAGCATAGGCAGGTTCTGAACTTGCAATCTTTCCACCTCAGCTTCCTATGAAGCTGAGATTACAGGCCTCAGTTATCAGGCCTGGCTTCACTGTGACATTCTTATACGTGTAAGGCTTGTATTTCGTTCATATCTACCCTCGTCACCCTCTCTTAGTCCCTCTTCCCCTACGGCTCTTCCTCCCCCTAAAAAGTCCACCTTCTACTTTCACAGAATACATATTTTTTACTTTCATTTTTAATATTGTCTACCAATAAGAAAACCTGTAGCATTTGTCTTTTAGAGTCTTGCTTATTGCATTTAACGTGATGATCTCCAGTTCTATCCATTTTCCTATAAATTATGTATTTTCATTCTTCTTTATGACCGAAAAAAACTCCACTGTGAATGTACACATTTTCTTTATCCATTCATCTGTTGATGTCATCCTTAGTTTTTATCTCAAGTTCCCAGCAGAACAGTTTAAATCCTGAGCTCTAATCTAAGTGGCTTCAACTTCTGGTTCTAGCATTATTGGTGTGGAAGTCGTTGAATCCCAGTCTCATTCTACCCTGATTCTAACAGGGCCTCTCCTAGGATTGCACAAATGTTGAGTGAGAAAACTCAGAGTGCTTAGCCCATAGCAAACATGCAATAAAGGTTAGCTGATATCTTTTCCAGTGAGGAAGAAAGTCAGACTGAAATCTAAAATTAAAACAAATGTGATCAGTTCGACTCGCAGGGAAGCAGATTCTGAGATGGAGTTTAGTATATAGGAGGTTTATTAAGGAATCTTCTTGTGGTCAACATCTGTTGGAGCAAAGGAACAAAAGAGAAAGTGTTTCTGTGGTGTCACCCAATGACAGCTAACCCCCAAAACTGTCTAAGATAAACTGTCCTTTCAGAACAGTCCCTCTCACAGTTGGCTGAGAGTCTAGGTCCTTACAACTCAAGTGCATCAGGAAAGGCTGATCTTGAAAAAGGCTTTCCTTGGGTAAAGCAACTCTCTCCAATTCAAGGAGCCCTTCAAAGGGTCACCAACACTTCCAGAAGCCAGAACAAGATCCTTATCCAAAGGTGGTCTGAGTAGGACACACAATGTCCTGCAAACAGCATCTACCATGCAAATAAGTAATCAAAAAGTAAAACAAAGCAAACCCTTCCTGTGACCCTCTGGGAAGGAAACAAGGAAGTCTGCAGACATCAAGAAAATCTAGTCATTTATTCATTCATCATTTTTTAATGCCTGCCATATGTCAAGCCCTGGGGTTTGAAGCTTATGAATCAGGTGTCGGTTCTATAGCAATCATAATAATAACGTTTTCATCTTTACTGTTTTTAAGGCATGAAGATAAAGATAGGAAAACAGAGAAGAGATATCAAATCACTGGAAGACAGGATATATTCTCAAGTGATCTGTCACTTGTCAGCCCACTATGAAAAGCTGTTAATTTGAATGAAGAAAGGGACGGAGCAATTTTTTCCCATGCCAATACATCAAGCAGTTCTCTGGTGGCCTAGCAGGCTTGGCAAACTGTGTACACTGACAAAATTGAATTCCCAGGTTTGGTGAGGCCTAGGAAGGAGCAAGGTACATGAAGATTTATTGCTTTAAGCACTTAAAATGCCTCCCACTGAATTTGCTGTGACCTTCTTCCCCTGCCTATGGCCCCACGTTAAGCACAGCCAGGGCAGAGCAAAGGTTAACAGCTCACCACATAAAGCAAAACCAACCCCCAGAAGACAGGTTCTGTGTCGTAGAGGCCAGAGAACTGAGTCTTTATGTCCCTCAAAGGCTTGACTGTGATCCTCTCTCCAGAAAGGACCTTCAGTCCTTAGTACCTGCTGCCCTCCAAATCTTCCCTTCTGTCTTTTTCTATCTTGCCACTTAAATGATGTTGTCCTTAGTTTTTATCTTAAGTTCCTAGTAGAACAGTTTAAATACCTGCTGGCCCCCAAGCATTGTTCTTCAGCTTAAGATAATACTCACTTTTGTCACTGAGCTCTGTGCATGTTGATGTTAAAGACGCACTACCCCACATCACTACAAGACACTCGAGTGTATTACTCCAAAATATGCCTCTTTGACATATGATTATTTTGAGCTGATTATTTTCAAATGAAAAGCTAACAGCAGAAGTTCTGAAAACAGGAGTAAAGTTGTCCATTTATAAGAAAAATTGACACTACAAAGAAATCAACTCTGAAAGAGTGTCTCCCCCTCTGAACCAGGAAGATAAGCTGACTAAATCATTAGAGATGATCACTAGAGAAGGCAGTGACTTGCAGTGACTTACAGTGACTTAAACATGCAGAACACATCTTACACTTTTTTGGTGTTTTTGAGACAGAGTCTCCCTGTAGCCCCAGCTGGCCTGCAACTCACTATGTAGACCAGGCTGGCCTTGAACTCACAGAAATCGGCCTGCCTCTGCCTCCCCAGTGCTGGGATTAAAGGCGTGCGCCACCATGCCGATACTTCTTACTCTTATTACAGGTCTTTTCCAGGCCACTTCCCGATGGACCACCCTTTCCTTACACCCTTCTACTTTTGTTGGAGAAACTATAGCATTTAGGCCTGAAGTATAAGACAACTCTATATGACCTACTCTTGAGACTTTACTCTGGGACATCCCTAAATACAGTGCTCCACACTTACCTGCAGTTTGACTTCCCCTGGCTTCAGATACCTGTGGCCAACCACAGTACAACTATGTTATGGGAAAGGCTAGAAATTATTCATAAGTTCTAAGTTATTTACTATTCTGAGAAGTGTGATTAAATCTACTGCCTCTTTCTCCACCCCGTTAAGTATATGGATCATACCTTTATCCAGTGTGTTCACATTTTACACACTGCTGACCTATTGTGTGACTTCACAAGAAGTGTCTTCATCCTAGATAAGAAAGGCTATGATAGACCAAAAATATGATTCTACCCAAGTCTAGCTCAGTGAACCAATGAGTTAGTTCATTGGGTGTTGCTTACAGAAACATGGGTGAATGGTTAATTACATGAGCATAGACAAACCATGGGCAACTTCACCAACAAAGAGTCTCTTCCACCTGGCAATTATTACCATTTACACATCCCTAAGGAAAAGCAGAGCCTCATGAGCCTCATAAGCCTAGCCAGCCTTATGAACCTCATTCTCCTGTTTAGCCCTCCCTCCTCCTTCCATGAAAGAAAGTTAATGGGCCAATCCTGGAAGGGTCTTGCAGGGCAATAACAGCTCCTCTGATTCTGAACAGCATTGATCACGTCCAACCCGGAGGAAACGGCTCTACAGCCCCTTCGCCGTCATGCTAGTTTTCGGGTGCCTGCCACCCATCACAGTACTCATGTAGAAGTAACCCTTACTTACCTAAAGAGAAACATTGAAGTGCTTCCTTTAAACAAAAGGTAGAAGCTCTCTACTGAACTGGGCATGGTAGTTCATGCCTGTTATCCTGGCACTTGGAAGGTTGAGACAGGAGACAAGTTCAAGGCCAACATAGGCTACATAATGAGTTCTTGGTCAGTCTGAGTAATTTAGGGTTTTGGGGAGTTTGGGTTTTGGGGGGCCTTTTTGGTTTGGGTTTTGGTTTGGGTTTTTTTGTTTTTTGGGGGTTTTTTTTGGTGTTTGTTTGCTTGTAGTCTCTTTGAGACAGAGTCTCCCTGTAGCCCCAGGTGGCCTAGAACTCACTATGTGGACGAGACTGGCATTGAACTCACAGAGATCCTCCTGCCTCTGCCTCCCCCATGCTGGGACTAAAGGTGTGTACCACTAAGTCTGGCTAAGATCAGTAAAGTTATATGAGTCCCTATCTCAAAAAATATTCTTGACTAAATAAATTTTTTTGGCCTTTTTTTTTCGAAGCAGGGTCTCCCTGTAAGCCCCAGCTGTCCTGGAACTCACTATGTAGACCAGGCTGGCCTTGAACTCACAGAGATCTGCCTGCCTCTGCCTCCCAAGTGCTGGGACTACAGCCGTGTGCCACCACACCTGGCACAAATATTTTTAAAATCATATTCTGATATTGATATCTGTGATAAGGGGGCTGGAGAGATGTCTCCAGGGTTAAGAGTACTAGCTGCTCTTCTAGAGTACCCAGGTTCAGTTCTCAGCACCCACATGGTGGCTAACAACTATCCATTAACTCTAATTCCAGGGGATCTGTGGTGGTTTGAATGAAAATGCCCCCTATAGGCTCCAAGTATTTGGACATTTTGTCCCCAGAGGATGGCGCCATTTTGGGAGGTTTTAGAAGGTGTGGCTATCCTGGAGGAAGCACGTCACTGGGGGTGGGCTTAGAGAGTTCTTAAGCCTTGCGGGATCTCCAGTCGCTCTCTTGCTTCCTGTGCCTGCATGATGATATGAGAGCTTAGCTTCTGCTGCTCCTGCTCCAGCCACCTCCAGCCACCATGCCTCCCTGCCACGATGGACTGTAATTCCCCTGGAACCATGAGCTCAAATAAACCCTTCCTTCTATAAATTGCTTGGGTCAGTGTTTCTATCACAGCAACAGAAAAGTGACTAACACAGAACCCAGTACCCTCTTCTGGCCTCCTCAGGTTTGCATGTACATGGTATACATGCATATATACAAGCCAAACACTCATACACTTAAAATAAAATTAAATGTTTTTTTAAAGAGCTACAATAAGAACAAATCTTCTGTCCATGAAATTGAGGAGAAAGAAGTAAAAATCTACCCTAGCTTACCATTGTACATCAAATGGCAACATTACAGCCACAGTGTAAGGGCTTTATTCAGATTAAAAAAAAAGACGTTGACTTTGTGGGTGGAAGATGAAAATATGAATAGAAAACACATTCCAGAGCTGGAGAGACGGCTCGGTGGTTAAGAGCACTGGCTGCTCTTGCAGAGGACCTGGATTCAATTCCCAGTACCCACATGGTGGCTAATAACCATTCATGACTCCAGTTCCAGGAGATCTGACGCCCTTTTTTGACCTCCATGGGC